CTACCGTGGAGCGTCTGCAAGGGTTCAAAGAAGCGAGGCTGAGGGCTGACGTGGTGAATACCTGACGGATGCACGAAACAAGGGTCTCAGGCTCCACAGTCGAGGAGCATAATGGTGACTGATGATGACTCGACCTGGGGGGAAGCCGAGGGGCCACAATCTTAAACGACAGGGGAACGTCGTACGAGAGTTGTTTGTCAACGACAGCAGCTTGTAATAAGCATGAGTGTTGATGGATTAACGAAGACAAGGCGCACCCCAAAAACGACGCTGCATTTCCGAAGTTCGAAGCGAGCATCGGCAGACAGTACGGGAGTGCACAGGTGACTCCCGACGCTAGAAGACCTGAGTCGCTAACATCTGCGAGAGGCCGTTTGGCGTAATGATCATGCATGGTGCACGCCCACGACAGGCGAGAGACCCATGCGGTGCGGGCAATGGAACACATCCATTGGACATTCGTTGGTTTCGAGATCTGTCAATAATAAGTGAAGCGCACATGTAGTGCATCCAGCTCCCTACGTAGAAGATCCTATATTGTGAGTATGTCCAGTACCACAACGGGCCATAGTGGTCATCGAACACACCTCGAGGCACACTGACCGGTTCACGATCGCGATCGAACAGGCCGAAATACTCGGAGAAGCCTATTAAACCGAGCGGAACATGCGTACCGTGAGTCTAGACGTACGCAAGAAGATGGGAGATAACTGACTATTCGTCCTTCTGTGGCGTGCGTCCAAGGCACTGCTCGGTTCGCATACAAGGTGCCTTAGAAGATATCGCGGATGCGCATATACGACGTAACCAGTCCTTGCATGTCGCTAATCTCATGTATTTTTTCACATGGGCTCGTCTTCAACTTATGCTGATGACGAACATCGCTGAGGGCGACCCAGAAAGGACAGAATATGTCAGATACAGTCACGACCAACGAGGTCCGGCGACACATCGCACCTGATGGCGAGAGCTGCATATCATCGAGAATACTGAAGTGGTTCCTCCTCTGTGAATCTGTCGTCGGTGGAAGCGCAACATCACCGATGTAGATTTCGTCGAAGACATACGTAGGAGGCACTAAAATAGGCGCTTGTTCCACCAACTTGACTATCGGGAGAAGCCGGGAGACGGCGGCGATTGCCGGTATGATTCTGGCGTCGTCTTGTGTGGGGCGGTGCTCAGCTTCCCTCTGAATCTGCTGGACTTTGCTCTTGCCTCTCAGCACTTGCCGTATCTTGACTGAGTCTGTCGACTAAGGCACAGATACACTCTATGCTAGGATGGGGGTCTTCCAAGCACGATACTTGCGTTTATGCGGTGTACCCCGTCTGCGCAGAATCAACGTGAACGGCTACAATCCAGTCCATAGAAATCCTATTTGATTCATGAGGGAAACGCATGCGCTGAGATCATGCTGTTCGAAAGTTTGACGGTCTCGGACAATCCTGACGGGCGCTCACGACGGGCCAAATTCGCACTCGTTTGAGCCTTTCCTGGTACGTGTCCGTTGCACCGCCATTCCGCCTAACCGCTCCCGTTTCAGCGGAACCTCGCCATGCTGGCAAGCGTGCCTCCTACGCCGCTGCTATAAGTCTGAAATGGTATGTGCGTATTGACAGAAGAGTATTCTGTGGAGTCTCAAGCTTTCGTTACGTTGTGCTCAAGCTACACACGCTCCACGCGCTCACTCTCTGCAGACTCACAGTTGTTGCATTATGCAACCACGGAAGGTTCAGGCCTTCACTGATACCCTGGGCTCCGTTCGGTACAACCGAGATCACTGTAGCCGCTCAGTGATGGGAGTGGGGCTCCCGCTACTAGCAGAAGAACCCAGCAGCCTCTACCCTTCCCCATCGGGCGGATGGACGGAATGAGGCCTGATTGTGGCATTCGGACGACACCCTTCCCAGCCTAGGGCTTCTCGATCGTCAGTATGGCTATTGTGCCTCCGTACGCTGGGGCGCGGCAGTCGGATGACGTAGATCTCATTGAACTTAGTATAGGAATGCCAGCGCTCTGGACCGCTAAGTTCCCATTATGGCTTCCGCGAGATTCCCCTCCCGACTCCATCCTCTCACATCTCCGTCGCGGTCAATCTACGTAAGCTGATTAGCGTGCCATTATACAGGAAGGGCTGATTGTAGTGCGGTTTCGCTCCATGGTAGTCCAAGGAGGCGAGCACGGAATTGTGTTCTAGGCAGAACTTGAATCCGGGGCCATTGTCGTCAACTCATGATGCTGCATCCTCCCAATAAGGGAAAAGAAGCAGTTCAACACGTTGAACTCGCCGATGCTCTGGAACGTCCTCGGGAAGCATTTCCTTTCCTAGAATTAGCCGACAAACCTTATGCTGAGCCCTGCACAGGGCGCTCGTCGCTCTTTGACCACGATCACAGATTCCCATCGTTCCCTCCACAAATTCCTTTGTGCCACCCACGTGTTTGGCCCATGCAACCCAACGGCATCACTGACAAAAGGTAGCGCCCGCCGCTTTGCATGAAAGCGCCGAGGGAGCCGGGGTACGGACTTCGAAGTGTGGCCAAGGACGCGTTTTGGGGACGGCGCTCCCCATTGTCTCTATTGGTGCACTGATTCTCGGGTACATTGGACAAAGGAAGGTACCGCTCAGTGCCATTGCCACGGCCACGGTTCATATGCACAACGGGGGTCATCGACCAAGCTACGGTATATAAGGTGCCATTCTGGCCCTTGCAGGACCATCCGCAACGTCAACCACGCCTCCCATCCAACTACGCTTGCATCCGTGGTTGTTCCACGCCCATCCTCGCGTATATTATATTGTATGTTGGACGCGTCCCTTACACCATGCGCTGGTCGCTGACGGAGCTCTGCCATCCCTAGCGATATGAGTGTCTATGGGCGGCGTGAATACTATGCGCCTCGGTCCGCTGTGTCATATCGGAGGTCAGTATGCGACGACTTTTTTAGTGCTGCATACAGTCTAAACCTTGCTTCACAGGGCGGTGTCACCGCCACCTATGTGCATAGACCCCAAGTTGATCGACCCCGGCATCGGCCTGCCGGACACGGAAGAAGGGTGGTTGCAGTGGCCGCTGTGTGGTTTCCTTCCCGGTGACTCTTCTCCTGACTCCTCCCCCTCGCCTCCGGGCCCGTCATCCGACTCCGACAGCACTCCCCCGCCTCAGGAGTTATCATCAACACTGCGGCAGAAGCTCTACGTAGGGAGGAAGCTTCAGGCGGGGAGGAAGGGCAAGGGGAGGGCTTCGGAGAAGGGTGGGGCTTCGGCGAAGGCCAAGGCTTCCGTACGTGGCTCGGAGTGGGGCACGCAGATGCTGAAGTGCAAGTGGTGCAGCAGTTGGATGCAGGCGCGCACGATGGGGCGCCACGTGAAGCACAAGCACCCCCCGCAGGGGACTGGTGTGCCCGCGTCCGCGAGGACATGCACGAGGTGCGGCGCCGTCCTGTCGCGCCCCGATGCGCTCCAGCGGCACGAGAGGATCTGCCAGTAGTTTCGTGTTTGCGGGACCACCGGTAGCAGGTGGTGAGGCGTAAGGTTATACTTTAACGTTATTCTGTTGTATTTGTAAAGGTCTACGGGTTCTAGCCTCAAATTGTACTTGCGGATGGTGTTACAATGCTCACCGTGTCTTTGAAGACTATATTCGAGGTCTTGTGCCCTGACACTGCGCCAACCGTCGAGGTCCGTGGACCGTTTGAATGACTGTCGAACATGGTACAGATAGTATAACATGTTTGTTTTCATCACGCATAACGCATCTGCGCCGGGAGAGTATGCAAGGTTCTACACTGTACGATACATGAACTACAATGTGCGCTAGCGAAGTACGTCTGTGTAGAAACTACGTAGAAGCACTACTAAGTGGGTACATGAAGGGATGGATGGTCAGACATAGCTTACAATATCGCATACAGACTGATCCACGAAAGTAACTTCAGAGCATGAGTACGTAATGTCGGATGAAGAGAGCTGAATTCTGTACATGGAGATTGCAAACAAAAAGCCGGTCCTGATGCTGCCCGAACGAACTTCTTGGTCCCAATCGCATGGAGGGGAGCTCATACCTTCACTGGAAGAAAGCCAGTCTCCGAACGCTGAGAAGAGCATAGAGAGATGAGTCCAGCGAAGCAAGACATTGTTGGATTTTAGCCTGGAGGAAACCCGCCGTGGCGTCGTGTACGGAGGGCTGGGAGATTTGTGACACGTGGTGTTCGGTGTATGGTCAAGTGGCGTGGTCGGCTCTTCAGATATGTCGTAAAGAGTAGAAGATGAACTTGGCTTGTGTTTGAGCGTGCGGTAGGTATCAGCGAGCGACTTGGTGGAGACAGAGAGGTTTGGCCGCTGTTGAGCGGGTTAGCAAGCTGTACATAGAACCAGGAGACAATCTTCGGGGAGGATTTGAGTTAAGAAGTGTCGCACCTGATTTTTGGATGTGGCGAGAGAGTGCAATTGACTGTCTCCTTTTTCCAGGTGCGGCCTAACAGGTGATGAGCACGGCATGGCCGAAAAACAAGAATCAGGAACACGGCGACACTAGTAACGAGTACGCATGATGACATCGTGACTCGTGAGCATGGTTATAGGATGTCCCAAGGATCAGGCTGCCGGGTATCGTGCAGGGATCGACGATCAAGGTGTTCAGATTCAGCCGGCTTGGCTCGTGGACTATAGCTGGTCGTAGGTCAGCGCTCAGGAACATCCACGAGAATGGTCTCACCACAGTAGGGACACACCTTCGTACGAGATACCAGTGGTCATGCCTTTTGACGTAGATGAGGGGATTACATGTGGTGCCGGCAGTCTAAAATTTGTCCTCCACACTATGCGCGCTGGTGCAGACAGGAGTTAGGTATCTGAAAGGCGACAGGACCGACGTGAGTACACACTTTGGTGCGCACAATGGAACACAGCCATTGGATATCTCCGAGATCAGTGGATATCAAGTGAAGCGCACATATAGCGCATCCAGCTCCCTACATAGAAGATCCTATATTCAAATTAGTTTGTCTAGTACCACAACAGGCAATAGTGGACATCGAACACACCGAGGCACACTGGCCGCCGGTTCACGATCGCGATCGAACAGGCCCGGGTCGCCACTCGGAGAAGCCTATTAAACCGTTCGGAACATGTGTGTCGTCAGTCTACACATACGTAAGAAGATGAGATAGACCGACAATTTGTCTTACTCTGGCGTATGTCTAAGGCAGTACTCGGTTCATGTACAACATACGTTCAATCATACCGCGAATGCGTCTGTACACACTCTTCCGAACGTCACATAGACATGGTCACATGTCTATGGTTCATTTCCAAGTGTATCATTTCTAACAATGTCTGGCGAGACATCGAGGTATATCGCACCTGACAGCAAGAGCTCCATGTATTTGTGCATCATGAAGTGGTCCTACTGCAGCTCTTTTCGGTGGAAACGAAGCATCAGGGATGAAGAACTTGTCGAAGTCTGAAGACATCGTGGCTGACTTGGACACCGATTCAGGAGGCGCTTGTTCCCCGTCAATCGGGAGAGACCGGGAGATGAAGGTGGCGGCGATTACCGGTATCATTCTGGCGTCCTCTTTGCGGAGCAGAGGGCAACTCCGACTTCCCTCTGACTCTGCCGCTCGCCTTTGCCTCAGCACTGCCGTGTTTTGACTGAGTTTGTCGATTACGGCCAGGATGCTCCCCATGCTTGGAAGGGGGTCCTCCAAGCACGACCCTTGCATTTTCACCCTTTATCTCGTCTGTGCAGGACCGACGTGAACGGCTCAGACACCATGCATCTTTACTCCACCTCCATTCAACACGTTGATATTTATCATCATGCTCACCTTCGCTGATTATAACGACGAAAATGTCTGTACCATGGCTCAGGTCCACGTGGCCGCCATCGAAGAGGTGCCGCTTCATTTGGAGAGCTCCGCTTTGGCTCTAACCACGCGTTCACAGGCCTGGTTGTGTTACTGCTTAGAGCTAAGCCACTAGTTCAAGCCGACATCTCACCAAGCGCGAAATTGTCTTGATGCCAATGCCATTTAGCTGCTCTTGATCGTCCTGTGATTTGTCCTAATCATACCAGAGCGCCTTAATCGCGCACAAGCACAGGTGTCGTGGCTGCATAGTTGCATCCTGCGCTTTGCGTCTTTGCAGTGGGTATATTATCTTAGGCATGCAGCTGTCTCCACAACGAACAGGTCTTTGTTCTTCTTTGTGCCACTTCTCGCTCCTAACAACGCCGTACTCCGGCACCCTACATTGTTCATCGCAACACGCCATACGTACAAGTCATGTCTGAGTTGGAACTTACAGAAATCGACGTCGCTATCAATCTCCTACTTCTGAAAGAGATACTCCCACTGACACCGGAGGAAACCCGAAGCATAGGTCTGTATATCGAGGATTGCATTCAGAAGGTCGCACTTAAGTGAGTCCATAGTTTGTATGAAGTTGAGCACGCTAATTCATAGGACAGCCAGAACCTTCCCGAAAAGTTCATCCTGGCCATCTTTGTTGCGAAGCTCCTAGACAAGGAGTTGATTCCACCACAGTATGCGGCGCTAGCCGATCTCGACCTTCCTCGGGCAGTAGAAGGACTTTTAGAATGCCTCGCTTCTCCATGGTGTGTAACGTAGTTTCTGCGCATATTGTCTTGCTTACATATCCGGCTTGCCTTTAGTAAGAGCACGGATGGACTACCACAAACAGTCGCGCCCACGGACGTTATACGGCATAATTCGTAAAAGGCCTAAACATCCTAGTACAGTCCTTATTTGGTTTCGTCTGTGGTACAGCGGCCGTCATAAGTCCGGCCGTAGCGTGTGTGTTTGCTATTAATAGGGGTAGTCAAAGATGGCGGTTCGGTGGACGATTCGAGGGAACGATTCGGGAGACGATTCGAGAAGGGGGGAATCCGCGATTCTGCCAGAATCGCGTCGAATCGCCGGTGCCAGTCTGGAGGAGCACCGCACACCCAAATCGCGATTCTCTGCACTCGATTCCCTCAGCCCGACCTCGGATAAGCCCTTTTAAAATAGGTTATATGTCGAAATTG